CGGGAGTTATATGAAGAATAGATTCATGCCGAGGCCCATTTAGATGTATTTCGAGATTTGCATGCAGCGGGATCCGTTTACGAGGCTGCCCTTAAAGATGTTCGTGTTAAGGCTCGTGAAGCTCAAGTCACTTGTAGATATGATCCCAATACCCCTGAAGCATATGAGAAGGATGTGGATGAGGGTGTAAACCGGCTTGAGGAGAACGCCTGGTATGATACCACTTATCCTTAGGGCGAAGGTGGCGATGGCGAAGGAGATCGAGATGGCGAGGGTATCAGTGGTCAAGATGGTGACACCGTTAGAGACCAGACTGGAGAGGGAACTGAAGGTCGTGATGGTGGCGACCAGTAGTTTTCTTTTTGACTTTTTTGTGTATTTTTGCCGGTGTCTTCACGAGCCTTTTCATACAATTTTAAGTATGATATATCAAAGTTGTCCCTTGCATCTTCTTCCATTCATGTGGTTTATTTTCTCTACTCGTATATTTTTTGTTTGTGTTGTTTGCTTATTTCATTTTTTTTGTTCTCGTTGCTGTTGTCTTTCAGCTGGCCGTGGCCTTGGAGTCAAATATTTGTAGGTCATATCAGCCCTTTGTTTATATGGGTTGAGTGTGTTTTTTTATTTTGAGATTTTTCCGATGGCCGATAGGTGTTGTATGGACTTTGTCAATTTTTGACCTTTTGTTAAGTTGCGGTCGAAGGCCAGTAGGCGTTTGTTTGAGTGAGTCGAACATAGGCTTTCATTAAATTGTGATTGAGGTCCGATAGGTGTTTGTTCAAGCGAGGTCGATCATAACCTTTTTGTAAAATCGCGGCCAAGGGCCGGTTGACGTTTGTTCGAGCAAGGTCGAACATAATATTTTTGTTAAATTACGATCGAGGGATGATAGGTGTTTGTTCGAGCGTTGTCGAACGTAACCTCTTTGTTAAATTGTGGCCAAGGGCCGGTCGGTGTTTGTTCGAGTGAGGTCGAACATAACCTTTTTTTAAATCGCGGTCGAGGGCCGGTCGGTGTTTGTTCGAGCGAGGTCGAACATAACCTTTTCATTAAATTGCGGCTGAGGGCCTATAGGTGTTTGTTCGAGCGAGGTCGCATATAACCCTGATACAAAAAAGGTGTCCTGATAAGCGCAAGTTTCTCATTACTTTGACGTTGTTTCTTTGGTTACCTATTTGGAGAGAGTTACAGATTTTGGGTGTTGGCTGGCGTTCCAGTCCCAGTCCTAGTCTACCTAGTCCCTTCATTGTTTGACTTGGAGAGTATTGAAGAGTCGAGCAATGGAAATAACAACAGTCCCTTCTTCGCATACTTCGACTCGAAGTGTTCCCTTCGCTGCCTCATTAAAAACCTCCTTGAGAAAACGCAACTGGGACAAAACTGAAGTGAGGGAAAAACAGTACGACTTGGGGGACACTTTTTCTCTTAGAAGTTGAAGTATTTGAGGTGGTTGATGTTCCAATTGTTTGGTAGTTTCTTTCCTTCTATTGTCTCTAGTTGAAATGAACCTTTGTTCGCTTTGGCTGTAATTTTGTATGGACCATCATAGTTTGTTCCTAGCTTGCCTTCCCGAGGGTCTTTGCTCACTTGAGTTTTGCCTTTCAGCACGTAGTCCCCCACTTTAAGCGGCCGGACCTTTGCTTTCTTGTTGTAATAATGTTTTGCTGTTTTCGGGCGACCATTCTTATATACGCCATATCTCTTCGTTCGTCGGTTTCATCGAGTTCCTACCTTCTGCTCTCATCGTTACTCATATTGATTTCGTGGGAGTACCTTAGGCTGGATTCTCCGACCTCGACCGGTATTACTACTTCGATCCCATAGACCAAAGAGTAGAGAGTCTCTCCTGTGCATGTCTTCATGGTTGTTTTTGGGCCAAATACTTCTAGTGGTATTTCCGGCCAGAGTCCCTTGGCGTCCTCGAACTGGGGTTGAGAGTTTTATTCATAATGTTTAGTATGGGGTTTAGAGTATCCTATTGATATGCCATTTTTCGAATAATTTGGCAGTTTTCTTTCCTGTGAACTGGGGTCCGTTATCACAGCTGATCTCCTTGGGTAGGCCGAATCGGCATATGATGTTTCTCAATATAAAGGTGATTACTTCCTATTCCCGTATTTTGGCGAATGATCCTGCTTCTACCCATTTGGAGAAATAGTCAGTTAAATCAAAAGGAATCGTACATTACGTCGCCCTGCTGGGAAGGGGCCCACGATGTCCATTCCCCATTTGATGAACGGCCAAGGGGAGGTGGCTAAGAAGAGGTGCTCGCCGGCTTGGTGAATCATTGGGTCATAGTTTTGGCACTGTTCGCATTTTCTCATGAAGTCTGCGGCGTCCTTTTTCATGGTGGGCCAATAGTATCCCGCCCATATGAGGAATCTGACCAGTGCTCGATTACCGAAGTGAGCATCGCCAATGGCCTTCATGGACTTCTTCGAGGACGCGCTGCGTTTGGCTTGGGCCCAAACATTTAGCCAAAGGCCCGCCGTAAGTCCTCTTGTAAATGTCGCTATGAAGGAGACTGTATCTGCTGCTTGCATTCTCAGTTTCTTCGCTTTTTTCTTGTCACCTAGGAGTGTGTCGTCCTTCAAATAGGCGATAATACGATTGCGCCAATCCCAAGTTAAGCTTATGGTTCTTACCTCGATTTGGTCTAGTGATGAGTTGAGGAGATAGATTACGTTTCATCCCCAATTGTGACATTTTTGGTAGCGGCGGCCAGTTTCACGAGGTCGTCTGCTTCCGCATTCTGCGCCCATGGGATCTGGTCGAGCTGGCATTCGTCGAACTCAGGTAATAGCTTACAGATTTTGGTCTGGTATTTTTGCAACCTTTGTTCCTTGGTTTGGAAAGTCCCTGTGACTTGGTTAACAATGAGTTAGGAATCACAGGGAGTTTCAACCGTTTCGCCCCATACTTGAGTGCTAGCCTCAACCCTGCAATTACGGCCTCATACTTTGCCTCGTTGTTGGTCATATCTGGGCACCATATGGACTGGTGAATTACTTCTTTTGTGGGGACCTCGAGTACGAGTCCCACTCCGGACCCTGATGCATTGGATGCGCCATCGGTGTAGAGGACCCAGAGGTTTTGTGTATTGAGGGAAGATGGGACGGCTTCCCTTTCGACTTCTCGCATTATTTTTGCACTAAAGTCGGCGACAAAGTCGGCGAACACCTACGACATAATCACCGTCCGCGACTGGTATGTGATATCGTGCTCTCTTAGCTCGATGGCCCATTTGGCCAGCCTCTCCGATAGCTCGGATTAATGCAAAATGCCCCTTAGGGGAAAAGTTGTGACAAGCGAGACGGGGTGGCATTGGAAATAGGGTCTAAGCTTTCGTGAAGCTACGACCAAGGCCAGAGCTAATCTTTTGAGGTACGATTACCTCGTCTCGATGTTGGTGAGTGTTTTTCTAATGTAATAGATGGGAGACTGCGTACCTTTGTTTTCCTAGATAGCACTGCACTCATCGTTACTTCGGGGATGACTAGATAGACGAGGAGTTGCTCCGCAGGTTCGGGTTTCAAAAGCAGGGGTGGTGATGATAGGTTTGTCTTCAGTTCTCACAGAGCCCAGATGTACGCAGGAGTCTATTCGAGATCGTTGTCCTTTTTGAGTATGCCAAAAAATTTGTGACATCTATCAGACAACCGCGAGATGAATCTCGATAGGGCGGCGGTTCGACCAGTCAACCTTTAGACTTGCTTCTTAGTGGTTAAGAGTTTCGGTATTCCCTTGATAACCTTGATTTTGTTTGGATTGACCTCGATCTCTCCCTACGTCACACAAAAACCTAAGAACTTTCCCGAGGCTACACAAAACGCGCATTTCTCCGGGTTCAGGTCCATTCGTACCGTCTTAGTATGTCAAAAATTTCTTTCAAATGATCGATGTGATCCTATGACTTTTCAGAATTGACCAACATGATATCTATATATACCACCATGATCTTCCTGAGCTGGTCTTTGAACATCTTTGATATGTAGCGCCCGCGTCCTTCAACCCAAACAGCATGACCCTATAATAATACGTTCCTTGGGGAGTGATGAACGTGGTCTTCTCCTGGTCTTCTTCCTCCATAAGAACTTGGTTATAGCCTGAGTAAGCATCCAAGAAACTCAATAGTTTGTGCCCGGTTGTTGCATCGATAAGTTGGTCGATATGGGGTAGTGGGAACGAATCCTTCGGACATGCATTGTTCAGGTCTGTGAAATCCACACATATCTGCCATTTCCCATTTTCTTTTTGACCATCACTACGTTGGCGATCCACTTAGGGTACTTCGACTCCCTGATACAGCCGTTCTCTAATAGTTTTCCCATATCCTCTCAGACTGCATCATTAACGGAGGAGTTGAATTTATACCTGACCTATCTTACTAGGGGGTGGAACGGGTCGACGTTTAATTTGTGTCTGGAGATTTCCCTTGGGATTCCTGGCATATCTGCATGGCTGAAGGCAAACAAATCTGCATCGGATACTAAGAATTGTCTGAATTTACCTGGTTCCCAGAGTTTGCAGCCGATATAGACCTTTTTGCTACGGTTGTTGAGGTCCAATTGAATGGGTCGAGGTCTTCTATGGTCAAATCTGCAGCCTCGACCGTGTCGGGATCATCTTCTTGTGTCGACCTCATCCCTATTGATTGTTATTCCTCTCTGTTGGGATGTCGTGCTATCTAAGACAATGCGGTAGCATTCTCGGGACGTGCGATGTTCTCCGCGTATGTTGAATATTCCATCGTGTTGGGAATTTAATTACTTGGTATAGGGTAGAGGGGATGGCTCTCATGGGATGTATCTATGGTCGTCCCACGATAGCGTTTTATGCGGTGGCCTGGTCCATCATGTGAAAGTCGTCTCCAGAGTCACGCCGCCAGCCAAGAAGGGAGGTGTAATTTCCCCGGATGTCCGTTCAACTGCATTATTAAAGCCGGTTAGCGTGATGCAGTATGGAACTATCTTATCCTGAAGTCTCATTTGGGTGAGGACTCAGAGATGGATAATGCATGCTCCACTTCCATCGTCCACCATGATGCATTTCACATCGGTATCTAAAATGCATAAAGTAATAATGAGGTCATCATTATGAGGAAAAGTCAAACTGTCGGCATCCGACTCATCGATGATGATACTTTCTTCAAGTCCATCGTACCATTCACGAGTGATAGATTTGAGCTTGTGAGTGGTGGTGAACTTCACGCTGTTGCTAGAGGCATCATCGCCGCCGCCGATGATCATGTTGATAGTACGAGTTGGTGTTGGCATCTTCGGCGGGCCTTGGTGTTTACGTCCTCTGGCGAAGTTGGTTCTCCCTTTATCGCTAAACAGCTGTTTGAGGTGTCCCTGCCGCAATATGTTTACGACTTCTTGTCTGAGGGAGATGTAACCTTCTGTTTTGTGCCCATGTTCCTGGTGGAACGCACAGAGGGCGTTGATTCATGTCCAATCTGCACTCAATAGTGAGTGGAAACAGTCGTTGGAAGAATAGTACCCAACAAGAGCCGGGGTCGAATTCCAGAGGGAGTTTAATGTGGGTGTTAGGGTGTACAGTTAATGAGAGTAAATAAAATAACTTAATTGATCTTCCAAACAAGGGACTTTGTTTTCTACTTCTAAATTAACACTAACAATTGTAAACTAATGAGAAGAAACTAGAAAGCGAGTAAGTGTTTTTGTTGTTTTTACCTAAATGGTTAAAAGGCCTAGGGATGTAATATTCACCTAGGTGTTCGCCTAATGGGTTAAGTACCTTAACACTTGTTTTATTGATCAAGGTGTATTATAGCTCTTAACTCTAAGATACCTACTCAATACCTCTCAGTCATAGAGTGATTTTGCCCAATTTGACTTTCTCAAGCTCAAATGGGTATGAAGCTAAATAGTTGATATGAGCTCAAGTCGGGTTTTCCCTATCTCTAGTTCAACCCCTTTAATTAGGCTAGTCAAATCCTTAGTCGGGTTTTGAGTTGGGTTTCTTCATTTTAACCCATATCTCCAACATTCCTATAATTTGCACACTTCTATTAGTTTTGGGAACATAAATCAATACTTTCAGACTAAAACAAAAGTAAAAAGGTACTAATAAGTGGTCAAAATCCACGCTTATCAACTCCCCCAAACTTAAGTCTTTTGCTTGTCCTCAAGAAATTGGATTAGTTCCCACCTCCTCAAAATGAAAGGTCATTTCAGCGAGTCAATTGTGAGCCATTCATACTTAGTTGGGACTAACAATTACCCACATTACTCATGGATTATCAACAAGGTGACAAGTAAAATATTCATGCACGTATATTTCTAATGTGACCTTTGCATTTCAAGAATTGACTTTACTTATGAAGGACTGTTGTTCTATTATGTAGGTCATGGTGGACTCCAAACTCTTCCTCCTCTACCTTTCATTTTCCACACTCACTTCAAAAGTTAGTACTCAATCTTAAGATTCACGAAATGTTCACTCTTCTCTCATAATAGAATGTCACAAGTACGGATTCAAGTATCATAGGCTTGCCCCTAATGTAGATCACCACTAATGTAAGCTCACTCTGTTTGAAATCAAGTAGGACTGCTTTCGGGTTGTAATGAAGGCTTTTTTATTAGGGTAGGATACCATATGGGTAAGTGGTTGCACCTTTCCTTAAGCACTCCACATTTTCATTTCTCAACTCACAATTACCAATTCTTAGAGGCATTCTCTTTTTATTGGGGGTTAGAGAGAATTGACATCCCTCTTTCTTGTTCATTTCATTCTTTTTCTCCATTGATGCTCATGTTAGGGGTCATTACCTCTTTTTGAATCCATCAACCCTTCCACTTGTTCTTTTTTTTTTTTTGCATTGTTCTTTTTGTTCTTTTTCTTTTCTTGCCTTCTCTTTTCGTAGAGATCATTTCTTTTCTCTTTTTGGTGCCTTGATACCTCTTTCAAATTCCTTAACTCTCCCCTTAAACTTATGCCTTAAGCCACTTATTTCACAAGAGCGTTAAGGAAGGTCCGGGTGCCAAGAGAGGACCACGACAAAATGGGTAAAGGCTTATGACATGATTATCAAATGAGAAAGGCTAGAGGCTCGAAGGGGGTTGATTAGGGATAATGACATTGGTTGCCAATAGAAAGCTCAAACAGGCCAAGGAAAGCCTACAATCATTTCTCAAACCAAGCAAAACTTATGATTTTGCCTTGAAGCACATTCAGAGCAAGTTCTAGACCATTCACACGGATACTTGGACTAACAACAAATCATCTCACCCCTCACTCATCTAGACCGTATAAGATGATAGAGTCGAGAGCCTACAATAACCACACTCAAGTTTAAAGATCATTATGGTCCAATAAACCATTCTATGGATTACCATAGTCAACTAAAGAGTCTCAAAGTCACTAACTAGAGTTATTTTCTTTCAAAAACTTTCAAACCATAAGCACGTAGTTAAGTGTGTTGGTGCCAAATGAAGCATGAATAACTCTTTTCCGAGAATGACTTGATTAGGCCTTTATTCATTACTACTACTATTATTATTACCTAAACACAAAAATGGACTCATTCCCTTAAGAAGATTGTCACACCAACCATCGTTGGGACGAGTCACCTGGTTTACACAAAAACTACCTTTGGAAAAAACCGTGGCATTAAGAAAACCAAAGGCTCATTACCTAACTACTACGAGAAACATAAAAAGAAGCTACTTAAGAAAGCATAAACTAAAGTGAAAAGTAAGGAAGCTAATGAATAATAACTACTAAAGATAGATAAACTACAAATAAGAAAAGTAACAGAATCATCCAATTATTAGAGTCCAACAACAACAACATACCTAGTATTATCCCACACCGTGGGGTTTGGGGAGGGTAGTGTGTACGCAGACCTTACCCCTACCTTGTGAGGATAGAGAGGTTGTTTCCAATAGACCCTCGGTTCAGGATAGTATAAGTACCACATTAATGAAAATATAGGCAAGAACGGAAATCAAAAAGCCATATAAAAGCAGAATAAAACAACAAGACAGTAAAGTGATCAACAATGAAAGAAAACAACGGTTAGTCATAAAAACCTACTATCAACAGAAAACGAGACTGCGTGCCAATACTAATGTTATGAACACTCTACACTACCTACTCTACTACCCTAATTCTCGACCTTCATACCTTCCTATCAAGGGTCATGTCCTCGGTCAGCTGAAGCTGCGCCATGTCTTGCCTAATCATCTCTCCCCACCTCTTCTTTGGCCTACCTCTACCTCTCTGTAGGCCCTCCAATGTCAACCTCTCACACCTCCTCACCGGGGTGTATGTGCTCCTCCTCCTCACATGACCAAACCACCTAAGTCGCGCTTCCCGCATCTTGTCCTCAATAGAGGCCGTATCCACCTTATCGCGAATAATCTCATTTCCGATCCTATCTAACCTGGTGTGCCCGCATATCCATCTCAACATCCTCATCTCTGCTACCTTCATCTTCCGGACATGAACAATCTTGACTTGCCAACACTCAGCCCCATACAACATCGTTGGTCTGACCACCACTCAGTAGAACTTACCCTTAAGTTTCAGAAGCACCTTCTTGTCACACAAAAAATCGAAAGCGAGTCTTTATTTCATCCATCCTGCCCTAATACGATGTGTGACATCTTCATCAATTTCCCCATCCCTCTGAATAATAGACCCAAGGTACTTAAAACTCCATCTCCTAGGGATGACCTGCGTGTCCAGTTTCACCTCCCTTTCCCTTCTAGAGTCTCGCCACTGAACTTACACTCTAAGTATTCTGTCTTGGTCCTGCTCAACTTGAAATCTTTAGATTCCAGGGTTTTCCTCCATACGTCTAATTGCGCATTCACACCGTCTTGCATCACGTCAATCAATACAATATCATCTGCAAATAGCATACACCACGGCACCTCCCCTTGGATGTGGCGCGTCAGTACGTCCATCACCAAAGCAAACAAAAACGGGCTGAGTGCTGACCCCTGATGCAACCCCATCATAACCGGAAAATGGTCCGAGTCCCCCTCCCCCCCTCCGTCTTCAGTCGAGTCTTTACTCCATCATAGATGTCCTTAATCAACCTAACGTAGGCAACAGGTACACCTCTAGCCTCCGAACATCTCCACAAAGCTCCCTCGAAACTTTATCGTACGCCTTTTCTAAGTCGATGAATGCCATATGCAAGTCCTTCTTTCTCTCCCTATACTGTTCCATCAATCTCCTCGCAAGGTGGATAGCTTCTATAGTCAAACACCCCGACATAAACCCAAATTGATTCTCGGAAATAGTCACACTCCTTCTCACCTAGCTCTACCACTCTCTCCCAGACTTTCATAGTATGGCTAATTAACTTGATACCCCGATAATTATTGCAATTTCGGATATCACATTCTTGTATACAGAAACCATCGTGCTCCACCTCTACTCTTCGGGCATTTTTTTCGTTCTAAAAATGACATTAAATAACCTAGTGAGCCACTCCATGCTAGCCTTGCCCACACTCTTCCAAAATTCCACCGGGATTTCATCCGGCCTGGTCGCTTTGCCCATGCTCATCTTACGCATAGCACACCCCTCCCCTATCCCCCCTCCCCCACCCCCCCGAATAAAAGTAAGCATTGTCCCCCGATGCATAACAAAATAAGAGTGAAAGGAGAGAGGGTGAAGAAAACTTCCAAAGGATCCTTGGACATCTCGGTGTTCCCTGCAATATCATCTCCCGCTAGGTCAGCCAATTGTATCTCATCATCATCAAATTTAGGTGTGGCGGGAGCGGTACATCATACGCACTACCTCAGTAGTGTCGGCAGCAAGGTCTGGCTCCTCATACTGTCTAGCTGGTGCAACCGGTACAGATGGTGCTGATGGATCTGGGATTGACTGGTCTAGGTCAAGTAACATATTAAAAGGTAGATCCCTAGCCGTAGCAAGTTTGGTTCCCTCCTGAGCTTATTAATGATTTCTTGCTTGCCTAGGACTTCCTCATCTTCTTCACTTCTTTGCCCAACTCCTCAATAACTGACCGTGTTGTACCAGAGTGTCCATGATCATCTTCTAGTTGTCCAGAATCTTCTTAAGCTTCTCATCAAGATCAGAGGAGACAAGTGGTGCCTGTGTAGATAACTACGCTGCAACAGTACTAAATTAGTCAGACAGCTTTAAGTAGTTGTCTGCATCTAGTTGTTGAGACTCGCCAATGTCTGGGAGACTCACAAAGCAGATAATGGAGTTGTGGGCATGGACGGTGGACTTAGAGCTGGAGTAGGGGTTGTCCTAGGGGGATGCGGTACGAGCTGAGGATGATGGCGGAGGCATAGCAACATCACTGGAAGAGGGCTCAGCAGAGATAGATGGAATGTTAGTTGTCTTAATAACTACCACTGCGGGCTCATCAAATAGTCCTATGCTGGTAGAGGGCTGGGCTCTCTTCTTTGGGTTGGTCTCATCCATCAATGAATACCAGTCAAATGGCTTCTTCAGCTTTACCTTGGTGTCAAATGATCTCGGGTCTACCTTTGCATCAGTGAGCTACTCTGTGATAGTGTTGAGATAAGGACAGGCTGAGCTAGCCTGCTGTGTTATCAAAGAAATGTTAACTGACATCATGGCATCCACATTAATTAGATACCCGTCCATGATAGAAGCCATAAGAACAACGCGAGGAATAGGTAGATGAGTCTCATTCTGGCTCGGGTCAAGTCTGCTGCATACAAAAGTCTACCACCCCTTAGCCTCGAAACTCAATGTGCTCCACTGAATGGGAACCCCCACAGTAATCCATGGTGGTGGTGTGGTAGTGTTAAGATCTCAACCAACCAAGTTCAGACTTCTTACTTCATTGCACATTTCTCCAGATACTCTTTTGGCTCCAAGTCCTCAAACCCCAAGTACGCGTTCAGCGAATGCTGATCAAACTTCATCGTTATGTTGCGTACTTTGGTCACCTTTGTCCCCTTCTTGATGTGAGAAACATTTGTGTAGAACCCTTGGAGGAGGTACTCCTTGGCATCCTCAACTCTTTCTGTAAACCACATCCAACCATTTCTTGCTTTGAACTGCCTCAATATTGCCGGGTTGTATTTATCCAAATCCTTCAATAGGAACTGCCGCTCAAGTGTTGAAGATCTCACTGCCACCACATACGAAAATCAGTGAAGGCACCCAAGCTGACAAACGTATCCTCCCATATCTCCTTCTTCTTTGATCTTTCCACACCCGTGGATGTACCATCTCCCCCTCTACCATCATCGGGGATATCCTGTACAATATGTGTATCTGTGTCTGTTGTAGCTGCTGTCGCAGAAGTCTGGCTAGCACTCTCCGACCCCTCGGGGGTGCTATGAGATGAAGTGGCCTCATCCCTGAGCTGGTATCGCCCATGTGGCCTAAACTGAGTGGTTGTCTACTCCTTTTGAATATAGGCTGAGTTGCCCTCTAAACTTCCTATACGGTACATAGGAACTAGACTCGGAGAGGTCTGCACCTCTCCCTCTGCCTGCTGTGGCTTTCTTTCTGATGGTTTTGGGTTGTCCAAGGGGCAAGGTACATCTACCTCAACCCCTAGAAGATTCATGTTTTCCCTCGGCCTCGCGATCGAACCATTATTTGTATCAAAACAAAGAAGTTTGTTAGTTTTAATTCATCATTCAACACAATCAAGACTTATGTAGGCAAGGAGGGAACATGGGGACATAGTAAGGTGATGAGGTTATAGGTATTGGGTTCTGTGGTCTGCATATTTTTTATATGCGGCCGCAGAAAGGAACTACGGTCCGCAAAAGTTTGATGTGCGGCCACAGAATGGAAGTGCGGTCCGCATAACTGCAAGTGCATCCGCACTTTAGACTTCCAAATTTCACAGGCCTAGGAGCCACTGTGAAGACAGTGCGATGGTCATTTTGTGGCTGCAGGAGAAATCTGCGGTCCGCACATTTTAAATTGCGTCCGCAGATCACATGCTTCACTAAGTTGCCCAAATCTCCCAATCTGCGGACCGCACAAATTCAAGTGTGGCCGCAAATTTCAAAAATTACGTACATTCACATTTTTTCTACTTAGATTTTTTAAATACCTGCACAAATAGACATGGCAATATGGTATAAACATAAAATTCCACTAACCCAATCCCATTAGAGCATGTATTATGATACCCAGTTCAGATCTACCCTTCATGGACACATGGATGAACTCTAATAACAAATGGCCTAAAAAGAAACTAAAATTCTAAAAATTAAACTAACACAAAAATTTAACATGAAATGAAGCATAGCAGATAGAATGAGTGCAATGGGTGAATAAGCACAGGTGGTTGTGTGTGGGGACAATGAAAATCTCTCAAGAAATCAACAGAGCAATAGTGTTTGTCAAAAGAGTGATAAGTGTAAAATGACTTTCAAACTCCTATTTATACCAAAAATTTTTAAGAAGGCAAAGATTCTAGTGTGGCTGCACAATTTCATGTGCGGTCCGCACTCTGTCACCTAAAGTAATTGTCTCTAATCGCATTGTGCGGTCCGCATATTTTTGGATGCGGCCATAAATCAGCCTCCGCACAGACAAACTCTAACTTCAGAGAGTAATCATTTTTACAATTTTTCAATATCCCAATTGTGTGGTCTGCATGAGAAATGTGCGGCCGCAATTTCCTTTCTGTTGTGGCACAAATAAAGTGCGGTTCGCACAAATAAAGTACGGTCCACAGATTATTAGAACACTTAGCCATATTTTTGTCCACCTTTCTTGCAAGTCACACTCATCCATCTAGCACACCTCAAATCAAGTTAGAACACAAATAACACCTAACTACAAAAGAAAAAGGAAAAGAACATTGGTTGCCTCCCAAGAAGTGTCTGATTTAACGTTGCGGCACGACGCAAAATACCGTCAAGTGAAGCAAATGACCGCCACCATGTGGCTATCTCCAACCTTCCCCAAGTAGTGCTTAATCCGGTGACCACTGACTCAGAATACTTCATTGTTTTTTTTCTCAAGTCTATGCACCAAAAAGCGTCACACCAACAATTTCAAATGGACCACTCCACTTGAATTTTAGCTTCCCGAGAAACATTCTCAACCTTAAGTTAAACAACAATACAAGATCACCCACCTTGAACTCTTTGTTCCAAATGTATTTGTAATGAAGATATTTCATCTTTTCTTTGTACAAGGACGAACTCGCATATGCATAGTACCGAGACTCATCCAATTCATTCAAATGTGCAACCCTCAAGTTAGCGGCTACATCCCAATCAAGATTCAACTTCTTTAGAGCCCACATTGCCTTGTGCTCTAGTTCCACCAGAAGAAGACAAGCCTTTTCAAATACCAACCGGTACGGAGACATTCCGATAGGTGTTTTTTAAGACACCCGATAACTCTATAACGCATTATCAAGCTTCTTGGACCAATCCTTCCGATTAGCATTCACCGTTTTAGACAAGATGCTCTTTATCTCCCGGTTGGAGACTTCCACTTGCCTACTAGATTGTGGGTGATAGGGAGTCGTGACCTTGTGAGTAAAACCATACTTGTTAAGTAAAGTGTCAAAAACTTTGTTGCAAAAGTGTGACCCCTGTCACTTATGATTGCACATGGAGTACCAAATCTTGTGAAAATATTCTTCTTCAAGAAGGCCACTACACTTCTCGCCTCATTGTTGGGTAAACCCACAGCCTTAACCTATTTGGACACGTAATCCACTGCGACCAAGATGTCGATGTTTCCACAAGAACTCACAAAAGGGCCCATGAAGTCAATGCCCCAAATATCGAAAATATCAATCTCCAAGATGGTTATGAGAGGCATTTTATTTTTCTTTGAGATTCCATCATCCCGTTGACTTTCATCATATCTTTTCACTAACCCTTCCCTCTATGTCTTCTACAATTTCGCGTAATTGTTCTCTACCGTGAGTACTTCCGATGTCATAGTTCTCTCTCGAGCATACTACCATATTTTACTATACTATTCTCTCAAACTACGCTAGCTGACACTAATTCACCGCTCACTACGATCACACCAAGGTTTTGTTATCTCTAATATCGCCTTTAAACCATCCGTATTGAACTTCACATACGTTAGGAGTGATGTTATTCAACAACTGCCTAAATGCGTACCCTCTGTCGAGCAGCACACACTAAATAGGTACAGTTAATTTATGGACATTCAGTGAACAACAACAAACACGTAGTTGAACAAGGAGGAATATTCAAAGGCAAAATTATATTAAAATGTAACAAGAATTCATCCTTCAAAAGGTTTCATCAAACCCTAAATGATCTTTTGCATTTTGAACTGTGCTCTGCTCCAGCCTAGACGCCGAAAACCATACTTCTCTAAATTATTCCATTTTAGCTTCATGCACAATATTTCCATATCACCTCCGATTGAGCCCTACACATAAAAATATTATTATTTAGCTCGAGTCACAAATATTTGCACTAAACTTAACAAGGTTGGGGCATAATTCAAGGTAATTTACATGAAAAATATGAATTTTAGCCAAACATCACCACCCTATAATTAATCTCTTGCTCTTCCTCGGGCAACCTAGCACTTAGCTAACATAAACAACACCACACACAACATTATACGACGGAGGACATCATACAGCAAAGGAACATTTTACAATTCATCACACAACACCTATGACCATGGTTGATGCAAACAATTAAGCCATTGCATACGCATTCATGCACTTCCTAACTTTCACATGCCAAAAGATAATTGAACAATTCAAAACATTCAAACAACTTGCCCATAACCACCCAACCTCAAATACTGACTCGTAGTCAATAAGCACCCTCGACTTGCACACTCACCCTAACAAGAGAAATTTAATAAAGTTACATATCTGCCGTGGAACCATGTGCCCTCACTAATGAACAAGAGAGTATGCAGTC